GGTTTCCTTAGTCTCAAATTTTTCTTTTTAAATTTAGTTACTAACTGTTTAATTAATGATAATACCTGATTTTGACCTCGCTAAGATTGCGCTTGATTAGGAGAATACTTGATATTGGACTCCACCGCTATGTTCATAATTCGAATGCAACAAATCTTATTTTCAGCTCACTGGCTCAGAAAGCATAAAGATTTTGAGACAAGAATCATCAGTGACAGTAGTTAAATATTGCTTCGTGTCGTTATAATTTTGTGGATGAATGTTGAAAGGAGCGGAAAGGTGCAAAGAGGATGTTTGATAGTCCGAATTTTAGATGATGTTTCGATTTAGTTGGTTTGTGGAAGACAGAAGTGTCGTGATATGAGGCCAGAGGCAACGATTGTACAGCAAATTTTTGTTGCCAAGGAACTGAAAGAGTTAAATATATCGTACAGATTTGATGAAAATGAGAGATTATGTATAATGGGTACATCCTAAAAGGAAGTCTTATGAGAAAAAAACCGTTACAATACACCAATCCTTTAAAAATGTGTATTCATTGTTGCAATCTATGCGATAGGTGCTTCTTCCAATTTTTTTCATTTTCATGAACACGAGTTACAAATATAATTAAACACGATAAATTTTTTAGAAAAAATTTAGAAGCTGTGCTCTTTTGCGGTATTTTGCTACATCTATGGATTTTTTTAGCAAAATATAAATGCTGTGACATCATTTGTATCAATTTGTTTATGATGTAACACACATTAGCAGATGTCATGGCAATGATTAGGCTTAAGTAGTAAAATGGCGGCGATAGTCTCGTGATTTCGCTGTAAATGATGTGACGTGGAGTTCTTTGAGCTGAAGGAATCCTAAAATAGCGCAACTAATCGAGATTACTTCATTCTGTTATTACAATTTACTTTGATCTCAGTGGTAAAATACCAGGTGTACAGGTTAGTCCCGCGGAGAAAAGGACGCTGCACATTACAGAATTCTTCGCCATCAGTTGTCCTGTGAACCTAAAATAATCTGATTAATTGGCTTGTCTTAGATTTTTTCTAAGAGAAAATGTAGATTATTGATATTTTAGAGAGTTTGTGCTTTTGTACAATTCCTGCTAACCATGATTAGGTGAGTATTCTTTGTCAAGAAT